TCGCCATTTTGAATCGCATAAATGCCCTGGCCTTCAAGCTGCACACTTATAAAAACATAGGAAAGAAAGGTCTCCCGCAATTTTATTAAAGTTTCAGACGAATTACGGGGTTTTGGATTAGTCCGTGTTAGGCCATTTCCCCGGCTTGCCTTGTGGTAAAGCGTACTTTGAGCACGTGACCATGCTATTATATGGCCCAATAAAGTGCAGGTGCGTTTCAATTTTTGGATTTGCTGCAATGTTCATTAGTTGTTGATTTTACTACAGGAAACATAATTAATATGACTTGCTCTTCGATTTCAATAATTGGCGATATTACAAACACTCTTTGTGTGCAGGATACTTGACAAATCATCGAATATCAGCACGATTCTTGCCACTATTCGTTCACCCAATGTTTTACACGTTTTCTGAGTTTCATCCGTGACTGAAATACATAACAGTGAACGATGGAGCGGAATATGAATTTGGATTGTTCCTACCTCAATATATACGTCATCGGCTATCGTAAGCCTAACATCGCCAGATACATTTCGTTATTTTATATAACCCGTAAAGCTTTAAATTTGCTACTAGTATTTAAAAAAAATGTCGTTGTATGTTTGTATTGTAACTGCTTTATACGAAGCGTGTTACATGAATACGTGTAGCATATATATATAGGGTATGAGTACGCCACAGTCTTGATTCACGTCACGGTCCTGCCTGTTAAGCCTATAAATGCTAGCTTTCACGAGACAAATATAATTACCCGCCGCAAACTAATTTGCATACCTAATTACTGTAATGTCATTTTTTTCTTTCCGTGATATTTCCGCGCTGTAAGAATACGTAGAGATTTGCATTGGGCCCCGCAGCGGCCACTGACTCTCGGTTTAAGTACTGCTGTTGTGCAAAGAGCCACAGGTAATAGTTCTTTCAATGTGACGACATGGGAGTAGTCTCTGTAACTCCTTTATCTGGATATACCTTATTTAAAACCATTTGCCATTTTCAATAACAACTATTAACGAGATTTATGGCACCGTTCTTTTTTTCCCAAAAAAATGTACTCCTATTCGCTTATTTTTATTCCGCCACTGGAAAATTGACTCGCCAGCCCGGGGCAACATTGATTTGTGAGAGTGACAAGTGAAGAAAAAGCACTTTTCCTACGCTCGCGCAATTTACCCAAAAGCTGGCAACAATACTGAGCTGTAATCGGCCCATTCTATATAAGATTTTTCTTCCCTGAAGCCACCAGGAAAAAAGATGCTCAATGACAAAGGGCGAATGCATCTCCAAACGCATTTAGACTGCCCCGGGATTTGTATGAGATCAACTTCGCTAGTCTAGTGTTTCCCGCCATCTTTATTCATTTCCTCGGCACAGCAGCCATTCGTTTTCCATCAATTTGCTGTCCTGAAATTGAACAGAATAACAAAATGATCCACCCAGACACCGGAGATGTAGTTTTGTGTGTTTTTGATTAGGAATTTAAGGGATTATTAAAGTAAGCGTATTTGGTCAACGTGAGTGCGCCAACTATATTGGACAAGGTGTACGGTTAGTTATATTTGAGATAAGCCTCCGAGTATGAAAGACAAACAACATTAACCGGATTGTTCCTGTGGCGAAGAACGCTTTAAGTAAAAATCACTCGTAAAATGGAGCCATGAGATGATGGGCCAATCATAATGTATTTCCCGAGCTTTTTTGTATCCGTCGTTTCCCTTTTCTTGTACCGATCCTCCCTATTTTAATACTTACCGTAAAAGCAGTCATTAAAATTGAAACGAGAGCGGCATGAGTCGAGGCAAATGGAATATATATATATAGGAAATCCAAGCACATTGAATAACGTTAAGTTTGATAGACTAGTATATTACCATAACGAACACCACCACCACCGTCGCCGCCGATATATTATAATTATCACAAATCAATATTTCGTTACTCTTGAAACATTTTCATCTGAGAAATATGTGACTTGCACGCTCCGTAGTGAAATACATATATATATTTCAGTCAAAGTTCCACTCCTTTGTCAGTTGTTTTTGTTAGGCGACACTAGGTGGTGTGAGGGTTTGATTGATGCTAACTAGGTTCGCAGTCAGACTTGATTTAACCTGGTTTTTAACACATTTAGCTTTATCTTGTTGTTTCATTTTCAATAACGCTTTTATTTCGTGTTGATATTTAATACTTCATGCATAACTGTTAGTCAAGTGCAGTGGACACAATTAAATTGAACATTCAAAGAACAACAAAATATAACATAATAAGCTAATGAACGCCTGAATGAACTCAAAACAATGGACCGTGACGTAAGAGTGGGAACTAGTTGCGCTTTTCATTCAAAGGCATCATTTTCACACAATTTCCAAATTCAGGTGATCGCAACGACTTTGTGTATGAAGTAGCTTGGTCCAATCAAAAATAGAAACTTGGGGTGGGATTTGGGCGGGGAAGTTTGATAGCTACTCAACCTAATACCATGATCCCTAATATGTAGCGCCTCAAAGGTTATTATTATAACGTCGTTTTTTACGTTATCCACGCAAAATATTAGATTATACATTGACCACTCGGTTGACAGAATGCAAAAAGCTCAGAAATGTTATTCTACGGTGGCAGGGAGTATGCCAAAATATATGTAGATTTTACATAGATCACTGCAAAACTAACGTGATTGAAGACACAACTGTCAACACGCCATCCAGATGGTCCTTAGTCTGATTACAGATAGTTTATTTGAATTAGGGGCATACTGGTTTACATTCTTTCCAAAACGGATACCCAGTGGCTGTTATAAAAACTAAGCTGTGGGTCACAACTTTAGATAGGTCAACTTACATAAATATAAAATTCATATGTTTGTTGAATATGACATTTTATCTATTTCTTCCACTTGTAAACATGTTTATTAATCAGTGTTGCCTATGGGATGGGGTTTAATTGTTTCGTATCTTATTTGTCCGTGGCAATTGATGGCGCCCGTTACGTTGGAGGCTTACAATTTGAGAATGACTACAGTACGTTCACTCGTTAAACTGACATCATAGTGCCTATAGTCTTCTTACAAAATACAAGGAATTCATAGTCACATTGCGACCGTCCGGTAGTGTTAACGTGTGAAATGCTAATAGCTTAAATTATCCGTATTGTGCGTTTTGTAGTCTGTCTGTATGGGGTGAACGAGGTTCCCTTTGGAAGGCCCTTGGTTCGTAATGTCACCCTATTGTATGGACAGTGAAAAACATTTTTGTGCCAACACAACCGCTGGTTAATTTGAGTGGTGGGTTGGGTTTCCTTTGTCTGCCCGGGCTGTCCGTCACATTGACGTGTTACAACTTTACTACGAGAGTTGTTAATTAATTTGCATTGTGAGGGAAAGTAAACATCCCCCGCTGGGTAGGGGCAGGGCCAACTGACACTAGGCGTTCTTCTCGCTAAACTTTTCCATTCTCACTTCAAAATATTGGTAAAACTGCCCCTTTGTCTATGTGGTGGAAATACCTATATGCGAAGTCATCCATTTTGTTGCAAGTTTAGACGTATTGATGAATATAACCTTGTTCGAGTTAGTGATGTTTAACCAGGAAGTAGTTCTCAAGGTTGTGCAGAAAAGTTGACAAAACCCCAGCACAGTTCAGAAAAGATGATTCGTCCGTGTTTGTATATTACTACCGGATGGTAGTAATTAAAAGATAAGTATGGGAAGAGCCCCTCCCATGTCAGCTGGTTCGTCTTACGTCTGTTCACCTTCTGGTTTTGGAATTCCAGATGGTTACTTCGGAGCGGAACATACTAAATCAACACCTTGTTTTCTAGGTAAAGACAAGAAAACATAAAAAGAGTCGCAGAGTGCGACGATCAGCTCGTTGCAATTTACTAGTATTTCACTGTCGTGTGCTGGTTTCCGAGATTATTCAAATTCACACTTGCCCCATGCATTATTTGTTTATTTATTTATTTATTACGAAACCACGGGAAGTGACCCATACGTCCAAAGCAGGCTGTCAGTTAAGCAAATAAACCATGATTACGGTGGAGGCAGGGCCGTATCTCACCATTTTTTGTAAACAAATGGGAACATTGTCGCTTTCATTGTTACGCAATACACTTTTCTCCTCCTCTCAACTCAAACTGTGAAAAGGCATACAAAGGTTTTATTTTGTTTAGCTTAATGTAGCAGCATTTTGTTAGAAACCCCCGAATGTCAAAGTTTAGGGAAGGTATCTCGGGACAAAATGACCCTCCAAATGAACTTATTCCTCACTGTGTTCAAAGTGACGTAACTATAGGCGGTCATTTTAATAGAGATAAAAACGAAATAAAATACCATATGTGTTTACTTCACAAACATTGTATGTTGTAAATCGCAATCACGGAACCGGAAAAACTGCAGTTCTGATTGTTTTATTGGGATGTTAATGTACCTATTAGAACATTTATAGAGATATTGTTTGCGAACCGTGCCTCTCTCGGTACTACAAGAAAGCGCTTGTGTTTGCGCTTCGTTCACCGCTAATGTGAATTCAAGATTTCTCAACTATGACCATCTGAATAGCAACTTATTTTGTTCTTTCTAAACAAACTTGTTGAATGTTAAGCGTTCAAATGAAACAACATTTTTATCAATAATTTATTACCGCTGTGTTATCTGTGATATGTGTTTCGCTTTATGTCTTCTGACATACAATTCATTGGAATATTGGGATGGGTGAAGCATCATGGGTGAAGGGACTTCGGGAGCAGGGGGAGTTTTCGTCTACGCACGTATCCAATCACACTGAAACAAGGCTTGCCCAGCAGGGGACGCAGAATGACATCTCCAAATCATGGTGAAACGCTATGAAATGAGATAAGCGTCGATTGAGCATGCGCGTGACGCTATGAAAGCATCTATTGGTTCATCAACTGTCAACTTGTCACTCAACACAAAGCAACCAATCGTGTGAGACCATAATTACCAGTAATACGTTCACGCTGGGCATCTAACAAGCTCTGTTTGCATGCGAACGAGGGGACACTTTTACTGCTTCTCTCCAAAAGTGAACGATCATTTGGTAGGTAGCTCTCCTGGTTAGAAACACAGTTAAAAATCACCGATGACTGCCGAGACGCTGCAGTCAACCTACATGGATCACGGTCTCAGCAAACGAAATCCAGCGCTGAGACTGGTCGATGTTACTTCGCATCAAAATATTAACGGGATGTCGACGACATTTGGATTAGCGCCGCATGCACACCATTCAACGGATACTAGCGACTCGGCCGCCGGTATGGGCTTGAATCCTTATGGTATGGAGGCGACGCACATGGGAGCACTCAAACTGAGTCCACCTCATCCGATGACGGAAACGAGTTGTGCACCGACGTCGAATTACAGTCAAACCAACGGCTATGTGCCCCATTCACACGGCCACCACGCTCACCACGGGCATGTTACCAGCTACACTGCACAGGCGCTATCAGCTAGTCGGGACTTCCTCCTACGGCGAGAACATCTTACGGGATCAGCAGTACCGCTGGGCACCAGTCTAGCCTCCCATGAAAGTCTCGCAGCGAACACAGCTCCACACCACAGTATGTTTGTACCAACAACCAGTAACTTGCACGTCCCTCATGGACACGCCGACGGTACTTCAAGTTCTCATGTACTTTTTCCAGGACTCCACGACCAATCTAACGCACATCACGGAGCATCCCATCATCATATGAACAGTCAGATGAGATTAACTATTCCCAGTGATATGTACGGTCGACCAGATCAATTTAACCAAGTTACCAGTCCACGAAATGATCATCTCACGTCACCTCAACTTCACCATAATCCTCATATGAACCACATGAACATGAATATGAATATGAACATGAATGTGAACATGAACATGAATCCACCTCATGGGCCTGGTGCATTTTTCCGTTACATGAGACAGCCGATAAAACAAGAACTAAGTTGTCTGTGGATAGACCAAGATCAACCGAATCCAAAGAAATCGTGTATGAAAACTTTTACTTCAATGCACGAAATTGTTACTCATATAACTGTTGAACACGTAGGGGGGCCAGAACAGACCAATCATACGTGTTATTGGCAAAACTGTGCAAGGAACTTAAAACCATTTAAAGCTAAATATAAGTTAGTTAATCATATACGAGTACACACGGGTGAAAAACCATTCCCCTGTCCGTTTCCTGGATGCGGGAAAGTCTTCGCAAGATCAGAGAATCTCAAGATTCACAAAAGAACGCACACAGGTTAGTAATGTTTATAATAGTAAAGTAAATATTGATGATGCTTTGTTCAATTCTTGGTGACTACGTGGCTGTCGAATCGATTATTTGGGAGAGAAAACATTATTGCTCGATTGAAATGTTGATTAATTTCAGAAAACTCGTTAACCAGCCCGGTTTAATTTCTGCCGCAAGTTAGACTCCATCCAAACAAATTCTCACCAAATACAGCTTGCTTTCACCAGGAAGTCTCTTTGTATCTTAGCTTCACAAGCGTCTATCATACAGTTTGTTTCGTACTTCCGGTGTTTCAATTAAATAGCCCATCCTATTTATCAAACACTACCAAATAAACCACCAATTAGGCTTAGCTTCCAATATTTAAAATACTGCATTACAATTTTGACTTTAAATAAAATTTCGAACTTGACCGAGTCACTAAAAGTATTATAATAATTTACCACCCGAGCAGCATTGGCAGTGTTATTAAGGATGCAAGCTGGTTGTTCATTGAGAATCCCCGTGCGGTCATTCCCTGTGTCGCTGCTCAGTACACAAACATTGTCGACTGGAAGTTATTTTGCTGCTGTCGTATATCACTACAGCTGCATATGTGCATGGGTGCTGACTATGCATATGGCTTCGGGCAATCGGATTATCCCTAATGCCAGCGTAAATCCAACAACAAATCGGATTTGCACAATTGGTCTTTTATCTGATTCCTAGGAAATGTGTGTAATAGCATATGATTACGATCATTTTAAAACCTTTGGTGGTGCTAACTGCTATGCGTGGATTTCGAAGGAAGCCTTTAAATTGGGATTAGTTTAACATGACATTAAACATGGATTCCGCATTTCCCGACAATTGAACAGCCTGTCCTTGTTTTATTGTTTGTTGTTATAATATTAACGTCTGTTTGTTATTTTACAGGAGAGAAACCCTTTAAGTGTGAGTTCGATGGATGTGATCGGCGGTTTGCCAATTCCAGTGATCGGAAGAAACACTCCCACGTGCACACTTCTGACAAACCCTACAACTGTAAGGTACGTGGCTGTGATAAAAGCTATACACACCCTAGCTCGCTACGAAAGCACATGAAGGTACACGGAAAATCACCGCCACCAACCAACGTTTACGACACTTCCACAACCTCATTGATATCTCCACAGACATCGGAAGGTGGTCACAGTATTTCATCGTTACCTCTTGCTCCCAATCCGCCGTCGCTAGCGCCGACGCACACGAATTTGAGTGAATGGTACGTTTGCCAGAGTGCGGCAGGGATGCCGACTCCTCCCAGCAACGAACACTCGCCGGTGAACAGTTCATCAGTCTGCCATCCAAACTCAATGGCAAGTACAACGACGACATCATCGTATTAGAGATATGGTGTGATACCAAAAACTATAATAACACACGGCAATAAACAATGATGAAGCGAACTGACTGAATTGTAGGTAACGCCACTTGCATGTTTCAAAAACCGCCATTTTGTATCACACTGTCCAGTCGGAATGCGTTCTTGCAATGGGATAACATATCTCGTTAACTTTCAAATGAACACCAGAGATTTTTTAACATAAATACTATTTTTATATAGTAAATTTGGTTTTAAAAGTTACCAATTTGAACAGAAACAATATTTTTTGGGGAAGTCATTTGTTGTTTGAAATTGAACATGCATTCTTGCATTTTATTATATTATTCAAAGCTTGCGATGTAATGAATCATGTTGACAAAACATTTATTCTTAATTCTGAAAAATTTAACGAAAGTATATTTTCATACGTTTGTAGGCTTTGTCGCCTTTCAAAGCTGATATGCGAAGAAGTTTATTTATTCTCTTCAACCGTCTCCATTCGATTTCATCCAGTTCCTTTCGCGAAGCAATGGGTCAGTTGTGATTGATAACACAGAGTACATAGCGTTGATATTTATAAAATAACAGCTATTATTTAATATTATGATAACCCTTTTGGCTATTTTCACCCGGTTACTTTCCAGAGTTCATTTGCCAGTGACTTCTTTTTACGATCGATGTTTGGAATATTTATGGTAAAAACTGTTTTCTCTAGTTCGTGATACATTAAACGCCCGTCACATGTCATAGCGCACATGAGATAGACGCCGTAATTACTATGCGATAAAAACAGCCCAATGTTGTAAATACAAAGTATCTATCCAGGAATAACACGTTATTAATTTACAATATAAAACGAAAAGCTGGAAACGTTGAGAAATTGGCGGTTGAAAGCCTGTGGTACAACTAAATAGTGATTAAATAACAATTCCGACCAATTTCAATTGTCAATTAACGCTTTACACAAATCGACACTGTTTATAAATGTGCCGCTGTCAAATTAGAAAGAGGCAATATCAGCAGTACTGTTAGCCTGACAGGTTATGAACAGCCAAGAATATTGGCGTCTCTGACGCACCATTTAAATCCCGGCTGACAGTGACGTTATTCAGTACATACTAAATTGAATTTTGTTACATTGTCATTTAAACAGGCACCATTTTACGCCGATTATTTAATATCGACGTCGACATTTTTTACAAATAACACGCCTTATTGTTTTTCAATGTCAATTAAAATACGGATATTGAAAGCATTTTGGGGATCGTGCCAACCAAAATACTATTGTACCATTTACCAGTTATATCGATGCTTAATATGATGCATGTTGCGTTCTTACGTCTTCCTCGCATCACACATTCTAGTCAAGTTATTTAAACTGATGATTTATTTGATTTACATTGACGAACTCTCACCAGGTTGAATCTCTAATCTTTCCCATCATATTTTGGTTGAATCCAGTAATAATAACACTGGCTAATAAAGACTTATATGTTGTGTTAATTTTATAATTAGTTACATTATTTCAAAAGTGTCCCCTAAGTTCAGTATATCCATAACCATAATTTTGAACACGATCAATTTTTATTTACTAAATTCGCTCGGATATACGCATATGATCGTTTTGCTGGCTCGGTGTATTGCTATACTTCTGTGTTGCTATGCGTACAACACCTGCAATATTGGCAGATTTGACAGTCGTTTTCAGTTAATAACTGTCCTATCTCCCTCTTATCTACCACGCGTTCACCTTAGCGCCTGACATTTCCTTTTAATTACCACCGAATTCGATTGGATTTCGCCGACTTAATAAAAAATTGAGGCCAGAAAGTAGTTGTAATTTCAATCACACCTACGACCTGTTTTGTTACCCATACAACTTGTCGATCTGAATGTGTCTTATTGGGTATGGGTGCTGTGCCGGGTGGCATGGGTACTGTGCCGGGTGGCATGGGTACTGTGCCGGGTGGTGTGGGTACTGTATCGGGTATGGTTATGAGAGTTGTATGTGTGTAGTAAACTCTCTGTAAATGGGATAATTCTATATATTTTATTTAATGATAATTTTATATATCTTCTTTTTACAACAAACAAGATATTTTATACAACGTTGGCGGACCGTTGGTTCATTGTCCAACGTTAGAATTGTGTCCTTACTAGTATATTGTGTAGATAACAGAGTTATTGTTAGTTTGCATAGTTACACAAAATATATCAATTTTTATGTAAATATTTTAAAACGGCTAATGTATTTCATTTATGTTAATATTAATTATTTTAAGTTGTGTTTCATTAGTGTCGCATGTTTTTTTCCTTGGATTTGACCATTAACAAACTGTCAGCTTCTTCATAGTTGACATGTAGCAGGTTTAAAGCATTAACCATAATTTCGATTTATTTAAAAAGAGCGAAAGGGACAGGCAGTATTTTTGCCATTTCCAACTTTGTAATTTAATGATGTTTTTCCCAGTAAAAAAACTATGTTTCAAACAACTATTATGTGTGGTCAATTTTGTTATATTTATGTATATGGCATTAATGATATATTCCCACTGAATAACGATGGTACTTCACTATATATGGTTACACGGTATAGAAATATCTTCAGTGACCACAATATCGAGAATAATCATCATGTCCCACGGTGTCGTATCGGGCAAACATTGCCGTGAGTTCCAATCGAATGAGAGCGATGGATGCGATAAACAACAAGAAACGAATAAGGGGCGGGGAGAAGAACCACTTGAGAAGTATCAAAAATAGGTTGAAGTGGTTTGCACAGTACACCTGTACGGAAAATCAATACTTGAATCGTCGACGGGTCAGTTGTTAGATTACCCAAAGGGCTCACTCAACCACACTTGTAAACTCGTGCAATCCTACGTACAATGTAATGACACAATGATTACAGAGAGCTGACAATATCCACAAGAGTTGCTTTCAGTTAGCATGGCGTTTGTTTGGGTCTTAGTATATTACCCCCAAGCCAAATCAATTTCAAACCAGTATTTCCGCCCGCCTATGTTAGCCGGTGATATTTGGGTGCGTATATCCATCCATTTATCCGTATTGCACTGCCACGAGCGGTACCCGCTGAGATTCCAACCTAGTTAGTTAAATCCTATATAGTAATAATAGATCTAGACATCCGAAGCTGTCATCGACTTCATTCCTCTTGTCGTTTTCTTCTATTTCTTACCAAGCATGCTGTGTTAGATAAAGCCTTCCCAAGGAGAACTCAAGTGTACTCGATTTCCCAAGCGGTTGCCCCCGAACAATCCCTCGATTGCTTGTGGACCCCTCGTCCATTCACATCAGCACGCTACACTGGTTTTGAGTAGTGGGCTGAGCCGTGTAGTTTTTTTTATTCTAAAACCTGTCCGACCCAGACGCGACACAGGTCTGATGTGACGCCTGTAGAGCGGTATATCCCGAACACCCATGTCTTTATTCCGCATTATTCCGCCTTTCTAGCGAACAACTTAATTGAAATCTCAATATCACTCTGACCAGCAGTGTCCTAAAGGATTACCACATCTGTCCTTTGGGGTTAGGTTTGTTGAATGTCTCGTATGGAGAAGGGGGTTGAACACACTGCTTTTCAACGCCGAGTTTTGTATTTAGTATAGAACGTATAAAAGCCATAAAGGTAATATTACTGTCCGTATTGTGATCATCCCCCCACACGCCGGTTAAGAGCGTAAACTGCACAGGTACACGGTAGTGTGTGAATTTCATTTTTCGATGCTGTATTGCATTCAAACCAATAGCACATCAATAACTCTATGTTGGGAAAATAGTTACATCGTTATTATTGTGTGGGTTAAATAAATGCGCTCGTTTTCTGTTCTGCTTTTTTTTTGCTTTATTGATTTGCCGTAGATGACATTGTTGCCTTGCAATCCGAGCTTGTTAAATAGTCGGCACGCTTGCAGAACCCTGTTACTATTAGCATACTTTTGTCGTCGGGTATTGTATGCGAGGGTACACGCTAAATTGAACATTATTACGCTCCGTGTACGGCATTGCTCGTTAAGGGGGCTAATAAGCCAAACCTAGTCCATATAGACTAATATGGAAAGACATACACAGTGTATGCCCACCCAAGCCGTTGTGTTTACTGCTACTCTTGACGATAACAGGGCAAAGACAAGAAGAATAAAATAAATTCTGAACTAAAATACAACTATTTAGAGGTCTTTTTGCCATCTTAGGAGCATCCCTTTTGTCGAGTGGAACTAAATGAAGCTTTTCCACATGCCACTGTCTTTGTCTGATCTCAAAAGCGTCCATTGTAACAGGGCAGTGATTAGTACCGGCTTCATACACACTGAAATCAACACAGAAAATTGTCATTCACTGAAATGTATTCACACGCCAACCTTCCAGCTAAACTGTATAGAAATTATAAGAAACGTATTCACTCCCAACCACTTGAGTGTAAATAAGAGACCAAAACAGTTTTTGAAAAAAAATATAGTGGGCCGATTGAGATTTTTGTGAGGGGGGAGGAGAAGGGTTAGGGCACTTGGCCATTGGGAAGAGGCCTTCAAAACGTTCTATTCCTAGAGACAATGGCCACTTCAGAAGTTTGTAAACGCCCCGATGGTTTTTGAAGTGCCTTAAAATTAAACGAATTGAAAAGAAAACTCGCATTTAATTGATCAATTCTCTAAAATAGAACATGCGCCTCCGTGTACACCAGCTACAGAATTGTAAAGACATTATAAAAACAAAGACGGCAAACTTGACAGTTGGGACTAAACGGGGCCCGTGACCAATAGGGACGATTGCAAAGCATTACAGTCATGCCCTGTTATAATTAAATATTTGATTTATTCTCTTTAATTGCTTGTTCAATGTACCTCCAAAAATAGAAGAAACGATCGCTCTAAACATCGTTCATTGTCTAAAACCAAATGAGGGGCTCAGATATCACATGAGTCAAAACAATAGGACACCCTGGCAGAAGACACTGATAATTACCCGATTTATAACAACTTTTGACAAACGCTTCACATTTTCACACACAATGCATTGGACATTGTTTAAAAGTAGGAGAGCATAACAGTTAGACAATGGCACGATAGATCCAATAGGAACTGTGTTGGCAGTACCAGAGCATATTTGCCGCCCAGTTTAGCATGATCGTCTCGTCCGCACACAACGGTGTCGTAAAGTGAAGTGCTTACATATGTAGTTTAGCAAGTGTCACCTTTTGTAAAAGACAATACACTTTCCTGTGGTGCTATTGTCCACCTTTGTTGGGCTATTTGTTTTAGATGGATTGAGAGAGACCTCAATCGGACAGCCTGGGGAGAGCGTCAATACTCGGATTTACCTTAATACATTTGCCCAATCAAACAGAGCACCCATAACACGCCATTCACTAACAATTCCCTATACAACCATAGCAGTGCGTTTACAACCCATTGTGTGACTTCTTTTCTTTGCTACTAGTTCTATATCGCTTCTCTCTTAGCACCGCGCCACTCTGTGATTCTGTGGTAGCCACATCCCATCTCAAACTAAAAAGAATCGTACTGAACACAAAGTATTTATTACCGACCCGTGATAGTGACTATCTCAGAAGACGAAAATATGGGCATTTTGTTTGAATTATATCTTCAATTGACTCGGCTAAGAGCCGGAGGAAATGGACGATGACGTGACCTTTGACCCCGCTCGGTAGGTTTCGAAATTTGTTACCGGTCTCATTAACTTTGTCCTGTCAGTTTGGAATTATTGATGGAAACCAGGTAATGTGGTATTACGAACCCAACCACTGCGTGTTTGATATATATGGTATGTGTAACTACTCGATCGGTAAGGTAAAATATGATAACGGTGAATAGTGAGAGAGTGTCATCTGTCGACATTGGCATTACATACATACGAACATCATATAAAAACACGGTTTCATTTTTAGAGTTAAATAATATTGAATTTTAAATGAAACAAACATATTGGCCCTTTTGTTAACGGGTGATTTATGACTTGCTACGGATCGCCGGCGATAGCGGGAAATGGCTTGGTCCCCCATAGGACCAAGCTCTGGCACAGGGAATCCATGAACGCTTGAATCACCACCTCAAAGAGATACGGTGATTTTCTGTGTCGTTTCTAGACGTCCATAATTTAATTTTATTGATATGGTGACTTACATAGCTGCGTGGTATAACATTCAACGATGTACACTCCAGTAGTGGAGTGAGTATACTGCATGTTGCCGATACACCATATGCTAAATCTTTACTCATTCCCCGTACTTACGACAATGTTAAGTGCGTTGTTGTAATCTTACAAAATTAATTTCCCGATACATTTCTCATATACTGTACTCAGTTCAACAGTTAGCCACCAAGTACTTTCTCTGCTCAACGCCGGTAGAGAGGCTGTCGAAATGTTCTGATTGTCGAATAGTCTGTTATATCTTCCTCTTCACCACGTCCGCAAATGCAATACAAGAAGTGTCACCACTAAATGTATTAAATTCTATAACAAAACCGAACAACAAGTTTTGTTGGTGAAAGGCCGTGATTGAGTCGAAATGTATAGTACAATTAGGTGACGAAGTGGTGAATGTGTGTGGCATATAGAGGACGGACAGTCACCAATGTCACGCTAACATACAACACAATACAACCAACTAGGCAACAATGCCGAAGCGAAAATGAACTTCGCCTTTGTCTGAAAATATGAAAAAATAGTGGCTGATTTTAATTAGCATACTTGGTCTTATTCTTATAAATGTTCTGTTTATATTACATGGATTGACTCACAGCTGCTTTTCAGGCCAAACTGTTGATCTCGGGGTTCCACTGTCATTTAGTCTTCACATGACTGCACCGCACTAATATTTAATCAAGAATATACTAAAAATACAGCTCTTCCACTACCAACTGCGTGGTGGAATACAATCTTCAATATAGTTTTTGCCTGAAAACTTAACAATTAAATACGAGAATAGTTTGTGTCAATTTACAGACATTTAGAGATAAATTATATCACTATCGGTAAGCTCGTCTGAACACTGCATGACACAGTTTATGAAATGGCGCTTTGTTTCCTAATAACGGCCCACATAGTGTTCGTTTATGACATGACAAGGAACGTTGTTTCTCCGACTACGTATAAGAGTCTGTTATATTCACGGCTTTGTATCTCAAATGTCATTGGCGCAGAATTTAGAGTGACATTTAATTATAACAAAACAAAAATGTCTGTCTGAAAACTATTGTAGTCGTGTATTAAAAATGACAAACTGTCTAAGCGACGTTGCGAAATCAAATGTACTAGTTCTATTCTGGTTGATTCTGTCACAGGAAATTCAAATATTTTAAAATAACAGTAATTATTTCATCTGACGAAGAAAACTGTTCTTGTTTTCCCAAATGCTTTTACCAACATCACACGTGTATTGCATTAAACAAATCCCTTGATACAAATGAAAGAATTTCTTTATAACATATCTGACAACACAAAATCCGGAA